CTCCCCCCTCTCTCTCTCTCTCTCTCTCTCTCTCTCTCTGTTTGCTTCTTTTTCTTTTTGTCCCGTCCACGGTGGGCGGACGCGCACGATCGCAAGAACACGTGTAGTACTCGTACGGAGAAATAAAAGGTAAAATGGCGCAACCTTGAGGCGCGCGGCAGAAGCCGCCCTGCTCTTGGGCCTGTCCGCAACACGCTCGCTACCCGCGAACGTTGTGTACGCAGTATTGCGAAAAATGATTTAACGGTGAAACGTAAGCGTGCGTATTACGAGCGTATTCGCCAATGGGTCCAGATAAAATAAGCTTCAGCTGAGGAACGGTTGAAAAACGAGTGCCTCGTGGGTAGAGTCAGATCTCTGATATCGTTTGTTTTCTGCGGCGATTGTGTCGAGTGGAACTGCTTTATTCTTACGCTAAACGCGAACCCGATGTGACGTAGAAATATGTCATTGGCAGTGACCGAGTTAAACTTTAGACAGCTTGGAAATTTTCGCTTGTTCTAGGCATATCGTTGTGAAGTTAGGTTAGTGAAATTAACACCTTGTTACTTCATTGAATCGTCGTAGGTCCATTCTATTCGGAGAACGCAGATTCTTCTTGGTCCCATTCGCATGCTCGTCCTCGGGAGTGTAATACATACGAACAGCGTGATCTATTGCGAAAATGATTTAACAGCTGGGTATGTAAATAAGCGCGTGATTGGGAACGTCGGGTCGCGAATACTGAATGGTACTCGTGAAATAGGGGAGGAATACTGAATTACAAGGGGTCACGGTGATACCGAACACACGGAAGAAGATCAGCGTCGATAATCGTTCCAATAAGACATGGCCGGGCGGCCGGTGCTTTCGTAAACTACACCCAATCACAAATTCGAGGTAAACTGCACCAGTTTGGCTCGCGAATTGCTGTCTTAATCGCGCGGCGATCTTGCTTCGAGCGCGTAGTTCGCGACGATATCGCTATCACCGACGGATTCTCTATTTCTGGAGGATCTGCGATGTATTTATAGAACAACAACGGACGCCTCTCTTAATAGACGACGCGAGCTCGCGGCGCAACGAGCTGAGGAAAGCGAGATCTTACGTGAAAGCCGTTAAGGCCGTTTTCGAGCCAGCGTCAGCCGCAGAAGAGAAACCGAGACTGAGAGTCATCGGTGGATCCACCGACGCGACTTCTAAAGGTCGTGGAAATGTCAACAAACGAGCCCCGGCAAGGACGTTGCAAATTGTATGCATCGAGCCGGAGCACGATTATGCGTTTTCACGAGCGGCAATAAGCGAATCTCCGTTGGTATTTCGCGGCGTGGCACGTTCGGCGGCCTCCGTCACCACGCAGCACCTTTTATTAATATCGTTGATTAGCGTGCTAGTTATTGATATCGTCCGGAGAAAATTGTAGTCCGGTTCGTGCCGATTACTCACATCCCCGAGCATGAATAATCGCAGATTTTCTGCGTAAGAAGGATTTCCGTTTGACGCCGAGGCTAGCTGAAAAAATAATCGGGCTGTACCGCGAGGCGTTCGCCAGCTGCAAGAAGTTCGAAAGCGTTTCCTCTTTGATTCGTGGATGAAAGTACGACGCGATATCGTAGGTAAGTTGACCGCGGTAAAACTGTTTTGGAGTATTAAATGTTAAAAGTGGATGAAGATGACTCAAGATCGTGGCTGAAGACAATATTCTTGCGGTAAGCTTGGAATATTATGAGTCACCATTGAAATAAGTCGACCGAACTTAGAATTCTTTCCTCGTTAAAAAGGTATTTTTCCTTTTATACTTGGATAGAGAGATTAAATTGTCTGATTGTGATTCTAAAAAACTGCCCAGTCTTCGCTGAACGGCGGTGATGTCTAAATTCACCCGGCCGTACGAGAATACAGGCAGCTACATTATTAATTCCTATCGTCGTTAATTTCATGCATCGCGGCTCTTGTTCGCTTTTTATTTGACTTTCGCACGGCCACAAGCAGCGACGCGCCAATTCCGTTGAGCGCTTACTATTTAATCAAGTGATTCTGGCCCGTTCGCGGAACACTCTTCTCGATCGTCTCACTCCGAAACCTGTCTTCACCTGCGCGAATAATTCTGTGCCGCGTCACGTTACATTTACATAAGAATAATTGTATAACATTTCGTTTAGCGCGTTACGCTTCGTGTGGGCGTTGATGTCACGTTGTTTCGAGGAAAGTTTTGCAACGAACCGACGGTTTTCCCCGTCACCGAGTTAATAACTTATTCATAGACCATTGGAAATATTGATATGCTCCTTAGCGTGAACACTTGATCGAGGTAACGAGAAAACGAGGTATCGACAGGGAAACAAAATTCAATTCCATGAAACACAACACCACAGTAGTAGCAGAAATCGAGAAGTAAACGCTGATCAGCCAGCGATTACTTTTTCAATCTCCTCGCTGTTCAAATGTTGAAATAAAAAATGATTTAGTAAATAGATCACCGCAATAGTTAATTTCAAATTCAAATGAAAATACTCGAGCAGTATAGAAAGTTTGTTTCTAAAACCGAGGATTAATCCCACATTTATGGACAATGGTTCAGTTGTTATCTCATATAAAATTCAAAGCAGCATAGAAAGTTAACGCAGTCGGCGAGCATTGTACGAAGTTCGACGCAAGCAATGAATCAATTTTACAAGATCCCGGGCAACGTAGAGAGTTAATATAAACCACTGGGCAAGAATCCCCGCTAGTCATTATTTGCAACGCTTCCGAAGCTTCGCGTTACCGTGGCTCGCGTGAACGAGTCGTGCACTCCAGTGATACAATTGTCCGGAACGTGTACACAATACGCGTCGCGCATAATGGCAGGGCGATCCGTCGGTATTCGAACGCTATCGTTCCAACATGAGCGTGTACTGGAATGAAAGAAACGAACAGCGAAAAGGTGGGAAAAAAACTAAATCGCCGCGGTATTCCAGGCAACTCGCGCGCCTCGCGTCGCGTCATGTCGAGTCGTTACAGCTGAAATCGACGTATCGACGACCTTATTTCCTTAAAACGTCCAAGCAAGCGTTGACCGAGCGCCATTTCTGTGCTAGCGGGTTTTACGTGCCCCGCTACTGTGATTCACGTAACCGTACGCTCCGAGGAGGAAAAAATCAGGACAATTTCTGTACCGACCTGCACGCGTCGGATCGCTTCTATCGCGCTTCCATTTGTACACGCTTCCATCTGTACGCTCAACCGAAAGACCGAGAAGATCAACGATAAAAACAGTGTCCCGTGATCGAGGATAACGACCAGCAAAAACTCGGAGCAAAAAGCTCATCGACAAACGCGCGGCGAACAGAAAAACCGGTACGAACGTCGCTTTTCCTCGGTTTTCCGCGTGCGCGTTCGCAGAATCCTTGCCCAAGGACTCGGTCCCGGTCTCGTGCGCGCGCGTGCAGCCGGTCTCTAAATCGAGACCGTATTCAGTCGAAAGTTGTGCGTTGCACAACCCGATCCGCCGGTCGCAATATTGCAATATCGTCGCGTTACACGGCGCGCGGACTATGCAAACCGTCTGGAAGCGTGCTCCAGTATCTCCGGGCGGTTGGGCGGGCGCGCGCGTGTCGAAAGTTCCTCGCAAGGGGATACCCGCGCGAATCGCCGGCTGGTGTGCTCTGCTCGAAATCCAAATCACGAACCGGGACGCGGGGTAGGGCGGGACTTTTGCAAGTCTCGTTAAGTCTCGAAACGCGCGTCTCGTGTCTGGCGAATCGCTCGGCGATTTTTCGGCTGGGATCGCGGAGGAACGTTCGGAACCAGCGGCGCGGCCGTTCGTTGTGAAATTAATCCGCCTCGATGAAAGTGAGAGCACACGGTTCTCGATCTCGTGGATCGGTCGGCTGCCGCACGGTTTCTCTCCGCCACGAGGATCGAGCCAGACACGAACGGCAGGCGCGGCGGCAAGGAGGATCGAATGGATAGCTGCTCGCAGCCGTTAATAGCGCGAGGTGTCTGTCTCGGCGAGGCTGAACAGAGGAGAGGACAAAATGGGAAAAGAGCGGCGGACGAGCACGGGGCCCGTTCAACTTGTTGCTAAGGCCCGGCGCGCTGCGCTGCCTGCCGCGGATCGGTTCAACCTGTCAAGAGTGTCACGAGGCGAGTGGCCGAGCGGAAATCAATGAACCCGTCCCGATACGGCTTTCGCGGACGAAAGCGGGCCGACGTGAAAATATCGTGGCGAACTCACTTGACCAGAATCCTCCAGAAGCAGCCGAAGCTGGAGCCGTTTGGCACTTCGCTCGCGTACGATATAGTCATTTCCTGCCTGACCAGGTGTGCGCCGTGTCCCGTGTCCCGTCCCTGCGGACTGTCGTCCCTATCTTCCGACTCCTCGTCGTTCTATCGTTTGCTCGGTCTGCTCTCGCACCGTCGGTGTTTCCGGTGGAGAATATGTACGTACACTCGCGCACATGCGGCGCGCGGGCCGCCGATTTTGTCTCTCTCCGATCCTTGATGGATGCGGGGTGGTTCGATCACCGGGTTCTATCAGCTGGATCACGCTCGGCTTACCATCAGGTAGGCTCTCCAACCACCGTTCAGATGGGACCAGCTGACCGGACCGACCGACTGTCTACTGACTGAGCTCCACTGACAGACGATAGGACCAACAGAGAACGGGGCCCGGCTGCCACCTCCACCTGGGCCTCAGTGCCGTTCGCACCTACCTAGTTGCCCTGGTGCTCTGGCTAGCAAGACAGCGCAGTTACCAGTGGACTCTGACACTGTGGCACTCCGACATATTCTCTTTTTATTCGTGCGCCGTTGGCCATACTTGTTGCTTTTGAAAACTGGTGCAGCTGTGTTTGTAGATTACAATCGGGCGATATGCTTCGGAGAACTTGGATCAAACTCTTCAGCTGTTTCGGAGATTATTAGTTTCTATTGAACCTGGTTCTGATAGGTAGCTTACTATCGAAACACTCGGTGACTCTGGTACTCAGATGTTTCATTTGACACAGCCTACTGTTCTTCAAAAACTAACAGAATTCAGTTTTTAAGTAGGATTCTCTTGCGAACAGAGTAAACGAAGAGCGTTTGAGTGTTTAACGTGAACAGTCCGGGTGGTCTCCACTCGCAATGATGGTTAATATAAAATTCATGGATTTGATTCCTTCGTCGATCTTTTATTCATTCTCCAAGGACTAATCATCTGAGATTTGACAGAGATTCTGGGGGTTCTTAACAGTTGTGAAATCTTTTAGGCGAACGGGGGCTTTGTAATGGCGCGCTTCGGTTCTGGGAAGCTGAACGCCTCCGAAGGACCGTTCTCGGAAGCGTAGTGCCGTTCTTACGGCACTGTCGCCGTTCGAATGCCGTAACACCACGACTATCGCCTTACCTGACGATTTCAATGCGACATCTCGCGGCCACTCCCCGCACTGTGCTCTCACCTTGCCGTGGCCTAGCCTGCGGCGGAATTGCGACCTTCTGGTACCATCCACCGGTCACCTTTCGCCATTTTTACGCGTACCGTCGAGGGAAACGCACCCACCGCGTCGTTACTTTCTGATTTAGGTGTAACATTTAACGTTTCAATTGTCTGGACACTCGCAAGAAGTATCTAACGTATACTGGGTGCGTTATACATTTCGAAAGAAAGGACACCGGGATTAGAGATTGTAAATATCGCCGTTTTAATTCCCGCGTGGGCAACCGTAATGTCCGCGGTTGTAGAAACCTCGATATTATCGAAACTTCTTGTTTAAATTGCTACTTTGGAAATGTAAACCCACGCGCAAGCATTTGAACATAGAGAGCCTCAACAATCATCGAAGGAAATGTAAGAGTAGGTAAGTAATCCGTTATACACAAGGGTTGACGGAGAACGCTTCAAGCGCATTTCACGAATATTTGTCAATTCTTTACCGTCACGTGTTCTAACTCCATCTAAACGAAGCCTCGGGCATTCAGGTCCGCTACAGAGAATTCTTTTCAGCTACGAAATACAAGTTCACGGTTCATCAAAGAGCAAGCTAATTTTTTTGTCGATCGCCAACGCTATTTAGACGATAGACAAGGCAAAGTAAAAGAGGTGCCCCTTTCCGATGGAGAGATCAACCATGACAGGCTCGTCTATCGACGTAAGTAGGGCACAACGGGAAATTCTGTTCGGGAGATCGCGAGATAGGTCATTGACGTCATCAGCGCCTCGAAACCGGCGTAGAAGTGATTCACAGGTGAAAAGAAAAAGAAGGTGTACCAGTCGCGCGGGCTTCGTCATCGCACGTGTTCGCCTCGTGCATCGAAGCTGGTCTTCAAAACGACACCGGACGGAAATTACGGCAATGTATCTTGGTTGATGCCGGGACGAAATGAGCGAAAGAACGCGTCGGGCTGGAAATAAAGTGGCTGACGATCGAGATTAAATGTCTTACGACAGGATATATTTAAAGACGCCCTTCACAAGGACAACACTCAGACTCGCAACACTCTGCTCGAAAGACGGACAACGAACGGTACACTTTTCACGTTGACGACTGAAGGCTCGCGCCAGCCTCACGAAGTTTTTACGTCTTTCTGTACGTTATACACCATGTTCGCCGATGCCTGGAACAACTTCTTCTCGGTCTCTGTAATTCGCATCCGTATGATATTCGTGATACCGCTCTCGCCGATGGCGCATGGCAGTGATAGAAATACTTCTTGACAGATTTCGTGGTGACCCTGCAAGTAAAATTTGCGTGTAAAATGTGTCGCAATTGGAAAATTAACATTTTACCGATCAACTATCGCAATGGTTCAGTAACGTCCAATATTTTTGCAAAACAGGTACTTTCTAAACTATAAAATCACTGTAGTATCAATTTCATACTTGGATCAAGGTCGACACAGGCATAACTCTCTGCGAGTTGCTCAATATAGCGTTAACGATGTCTGCAACCGAAAGACCGATAGCCGTGTTCGTGTACCCCTTCAGACACCTTACAGTAGGACCTCTGAAAAATTCGAAGAATTCGCGTATACAGTTAGCCGACAATCGGTCAGCGATTTACGAGGCAGGCAGCAGTAAGCTCACAATCTAACGACTTCCTTAGCAACTTCGAACCACCTCTCGTCGTCGGTTTCGAGGCCGATATTCGGCAGTATATCGCGAAACTGCACTCCCGCGACATTCACTCCGGACCAGAGTGGAACTAGGAAACGTTCGCAACGTTTAAACGCGTAACGCTTTGGCTTTCTCCTCCGGTAAGGGACATAAGAGAACGAAATCGCAGGAAAAGAAAAACGGATCGCGGCTGTTAATCGTTCGACTAACCCTGACTGTCGCCGTGCTCGCCGATGATCTGCGCGTGCACCGAGCTCGGGGCCATTCCGATGCGATCGGCGATCAGGTAACGAAACCTCGCTGAATCGAGATGAGTTCCACTTCCGATAACTCGATTGACCGGTAACCCGCTCACTTTCCACGTTACCCACGACAAAATGTCAACTGAAAGTAAAAGTTCCTTTTCAATTCCCTGGCGGAAGATTGACCGCGTAATCCTTTCTATTCTAGTGAAACGCATGGGCAAGGAATACCACCTGGATTCGAAACAATCAGGAACACCGCGTGCGGGCTGTAGCTCGCCAATGTCGGCACTATGTTTTTCAGTATCTCCGAATTTCGTTGCACCAAGTCTAAACGGGATTCCCCTTTTACCTGACGCACGCCCGCCGCTAATATAATCACCTTCGAATTGCTCGTGATGCAGAAATCTAAGATGAGACCCAACTCATTGGCTGACGTGATTAAACGGCTGGGGGGAGTGATCAGAGTCCAGTTCTCATAAATTTCAACGTCATTCTTTACTGAATCAAAAACATTGATAGATGTGTCTATATCGGATAGGTGTAACTTCCCGACTCTCCCGACTTTCTGTCTTACGAGACGCGAGTATCGCGTTTGCTCTGGAAATCCCTAGCGGGATGTACCCGCTCTAGATCTATAGCTCATATTTCAAAGAAGTATGAAGACATGCATCGGTTTCTCCGGAAATAATGTAGTCTAGGAAATGAAGTAATTCACACAACGAGTTAAGGAGATCAAGTACCAGCGGTCAACATATTAACATTGAATCTGCATATGCATTCGCTAACTCTTTAGCTAATCCTGATGAATCGATCAGAAAGTCTGAGTAATGGGATTTAGATATTTTTTACAGCCAATTTTTCTAGAATACACCAGTGTTAAAGAATTGATTGTACAGCAAGTGTATCGAGAGTTGTCTTCCATTAATTTAAAGGGATTACAGTTGAACGGACTCTGATCGCGTTTCTTTTCGATCGTGGATCCTTTTTACCTGTATCGAACTCGATGCGCGGATCCCCGAGAAACACCGATCCATGGCAATAGTCCATTCCTTCTCCTTCTAGTTTCTTCGGGAAAGCATCGACCATGGCGACGTGCGAAGAGATCCTCTGTGAAACAGAAAAATAACGAATGTTTGCAGACCGAGGCGGGCGTGTCGAGGCTACGCAATAGCTGCTTTCCATCTTCGGAAATGCACACGTGCAGCAACCGATGCACATTTTGCCGGGTTTCTAGCATGTTCCTCGGGTATTCGTATCGCCTGAAGATTCGCGCCATTTGACTTTTCTCGATAGATATACGGACTTTCTCTTGAGTTTAAAAAAGAAACGCTTGTTACCCGAACGTTCCTATTATCGACGTCCTTACACAATCTTCATTACGCAATAGTAGAAGGTAAATATTATGAATGCATAGTTTACATACAATATTAATAGCGAGAGGCGGAGATACCGGAGACTGTTTTAAAACTAGCTCGTAAAACTAAGATTAGAGGCACAATGAAAAAACATACATAAGAACGTCCGCCGGTATGTTGGAATTCAAAGACGAATAAGAGGTGTACCTGGAATAGAATCGCGTTCGCGATCGCTACGCCGACCATACCAGATCCTACGATCGACACTTTGTGACAGCAGTCCCTGACTGGGTCGGTCACTTTGCATAGTAGTTCTTCTTTTAAGCACAGAGGTCTAAATAGAATGATACAATCTCATGAAATAAACTTCTGCTACTGCATCTGTACGAATGGCACCTAGAAAATTGTCACGTATGAAATGTGCATTCTTTATTAGAAATCTTATTGGCAAAAACCGGGGCATTAACAAATTGAACTTTACAGTACGCTGTTTAATTAAAGAATGATTTCTCTTTCAGAAAATCGTTTCATGCTTTGATTTCTTGTTCAAGAGAAAGTTCATTCCTCGCATTCGGATACTATAGAATTGTTCAAATCTTTCGCAAAGATTTGGTTCATTTAGTAGTTCCCCAGCACCATTTGATCGGAGCGAATGAAATTAATAATAAGTCTCAATATAGTTTGCATTTAATATTCATTTCAGATCAAAGTGAAACGTTTCATACGCGACAATGTATTCGATGGGCATCAAGCTAGAACAATGGATGAGAGAGAAACGTTGAGTCAATGGATGATGATCGGTGACACATGAGCAATCAAGAATGCTTACTCGAAACTGACCGCTCTCTGTAAATCAGATCCGGCAGTGGCATCTTTGCCAAAGTCAGCGGCCACGATTTTCTTGGTCTTGATACCGGCGAACACCTCGGACAATATTGTTGGGGGTAAAGCTTGACGAGGAAGCTTCCTGTGAAAGCTTCGCCTCGATATTTGACACACAGTGCATACGATGCATCGCGGATGGAACCTAGTCGACAATATCCGCGGGAATAAAATCATTGCTCCTGTCACACGACGATTTTACAGTATCACATTGCATGGACATTGACGGACGATTGACAGACGAAAAGAGGCTGGCGATCATAACCGATCTAGTGAGCCGCCATCGCGTCGGTTTGCCAATTGTTAAACAATCCATGGTTACTCGGCAAAGTACAGAATCCGTATCGCTAAATTGTTTCGCCGTTATACCAGAGTAAACGATAGTTGGAATGTTCGTAACATTTATTTATTAAAATATTCTTATAAACGTATAAGATAATCGTTCGTTCGGTAACAGGAAATGTTAGGACATTGTGCTTTTTGTACTGGGAACGTACGAGAATAATATGTATATATTTATCGATGCTAAGTGCTGCACAGGTCGAACCCCTTAAAGTTAAACATAAATAAGTTTGTATTGCTTTGTTAAATGTTACGCTACACAACACAAAGAATGGTTTTTAATTGATTCTAAATGATTTTCGATCGATATACAATTATTCTCGTACGATACCCTTTCGTACGTCGATTTAGTTAAATATCGTACGTTATTAAATAACAGCTGTGTACATCAGTGACACTAGAATACTGTTTGTTAAATCACCGGGAAGCCAAGTAATCTCCAACGAAATCAAGAGCTCCTCGACGAAAATTCACACCGGTAAAATACTTTATAGTTACACACCCACACGCACACATAGAGACACATCATCGATCTATATGCGACCCGACCGCGCTGAGGCTGTCGAAACACATTTCACGTTATAAATATAGTTAAGTGTTATAAAATAATTAAGTAACGAAAATGTAAGTAGAAGTAAAAGATACTGGCTCGACGAAAGAACGTTTGTTTGATAATGGATGAGGAACAAACGATGCGTTAAATTTACCTAGACAGTTAAATTGTGCTAACACGCCGAAAGAACGGTGAATTGTCTAGAATTTTAAGTCTTTCTGAACTTCGTGCATCGTCTTCGCCGATTTGTGCAAAAGACTGAGCTCGTTCTCCGTCAACTTTTGTTGCACTATGCAAGTCACTCCTCCTTCTCCCAAAGCGCACGGTAAAGACAGGAACACTTCTTCGTCGACTCCGTGGAACCCCTATCAATAAATAAATAAACATATAAGTAAAATGTTGCAACAGCAATAGAATTTATTTCATTAACGCCTTGTACTTCTGAGACGTCTCTCAGTCGCCGATCGATTTGACAAAGCAGAATTGTAAAGTTCAATATTTAATATTAAATTTTGTATAACGCATCAGTATGTGAAGCATCGGAAAAAGACAGTTTTCTTTCTCAATGTACATGCGATTTCTCGCTTAGTCAATTTTAGAAAATGTCGCCTGCATCTCGTTAGAGAATATTGAGTATTTCCAGTGAAAAACTTCTGGGGCGCAAAGGATTAATTACGAAACAATGTCTCTAACGTATTTAATCGGTTCTTTAAATTTTTTCAAAGTTATCGTTTACGTGTCAGGCAATTTTATATAATGTAATGTGTACAAGTTATTGACTTACGGTAACTAACGTGGACACCGCGTGAACTTGGTTCGAGTTTCGCAGTATGGCCGAGGCGAGGTGCGAAACGCTAAGTCCGATAGCCCACGACGTGTACCCTTTCAGTTTGATCACTTCGTACGCACTGTCGACCACTTGCTTATGCAAATCGCTCCATTTCTCGGTGTCCTTGTCGGTACCGACGTCCTCGTTCAGATCACGCAACCTCACACCGGCTACGTTCACTCCCGACCATACCGGTACTGAACGGAAAACAAAAATTGCCTTATATTTATAAGGTTGCGTACAAGCATCGACAAAAACTACATTAATTCAAAGATAAAATTTAATCGTATTACGAAGAAAAAACAGCATACCTGTACAACATGGCTAATGCTAAATGTTTACAGAATGATAAAATTCTGCGATCGTTTACACCTGCAGCTATCAACTAAGATTTAACCCTAATCGGACCACAATGTGCCTATGAGTCACATTCGAACTTTTTACTGAAATTTTTTTATCATTTCATATTGCATTTCCAAAAATTCTTTTGGGCTTTTAAAATTTGGGCCCTATAAACAAAAACAATAACATTTTAATCATTCCTTTTATTCTCATAAGTGACTGAGAGTCACATTGTGGTATGATTCGTTATAAAAACACGTGGTATAATTAGGGTTAAACCTTGTTTAACAAGAATTCCTATCAAGAATCTTACATTCGCAGAATTTAATCTCGAAACACGATCTTAGTAGAAACAGACGTAGAGATTGTATTATTCTACTGTAAGAATGTTTCAGATTTAAACTCCACGAGCATTCGTTCCAATTTTTCTCAAAATATATATTAAACCATTACACGTATTCCTTACAAGACTACTGCATCCTAAGTAGCTTCTAACATTGAACAACAAAAGAGTTAAAAACAAACGAGCCACGGTAAATCTTAAAATAGCCGGCAAACTCTTATGACTCATCTTAATCCACAAAAATTTATGACCCCTGTTAGCAGCATTCTCGCGTGCACTGTTATCGCAGATAACGCGCAGTTATCGATCAGCTGCGTGTCAACGGCAGACAATATTTAAAGTCAAAATGTCCAAACGTACCGCTCGTGTCGCCGTGCTCCCCGATAATCCAGCCGTGGCAGGATGTAGGCGCGACGTTTAATTTCTGCGACAAAAGGAACCGGAACCTGGCGGAATCGAGATTCGTTCCGCTCCCGATTACGCGGTTCTTCGGCAGCCCGGATAGCTTCCATGCAACGTAAGTCAGAATGTCCACCGGGTTCGAGACGATCAAGAGGATCGTGTTCGGGCTATATTTGACCAGCTGCGGAATGATGCCTTTAAAGATGTCTGTGTTCCGTTGAACCAGGTCCAGCCTAGTTTCACCTTCCCTCTGTCGAGCGCCGGCTGTCACTATGCAAAGGCTAGAGTTCGCGGTGCTGGCGTAATCGGTGCTGGCATTAATTTTCGCGTTTTTCAAGAACGCGCTGCCGTGCTGTAAATCCATCATCTCCCCTTTTAGCTTGTCCGCCATAACATCGACGAGAACCACGTCGCTAGAAACGTTCTGTAACATTGGGAACATGGTTTCGGTTACAACCGCGGTTTGTCCGCTATTTTCGGAACGCCTCGAAAATCTGCCTTACGTTCGTCAGGATGCTGAAGGCGCACGCCATTCCGACCTGGCCAACACCGACTATGGTGATCTTGTTCCTGCCGACTGGGACCGGTTCTATCACCGTGCTCAACAGTTTCTCCTTCAATGGTGCCATTATTCTGGAACAGAATTGATTACGTTTCATTAAACCTTGATATTGTTCGAGTTTTTCATTTACATAATGTACATTTTGTAACGGATGTTTTCGATGTAATCAGAATAATCGAATTTAAGAGATTGTGTACACAAGGAAGTTGACCCTTTGCACTCGAGAGGTGACTTCCAGTCACCACTTGATTTGATGCAATGACACTATAAAATTTGATATTTAATATTGAACTGTGTATAACAGTGTGTGAAATATTGAGATAAAAAAGCTTTGTTTCTCAATTTAATTGGGGTTTCTCTTTGAGTTCATTAAAAAAGAACATCGTGTTTGTCTAGTTAAAAAATATTATATTTCTAACGAAATACTTCCAAGGGCAAAGGTTTAAAATTTGTATCGTTTAAACTGTAGTTCAACCACTTGGAGTGGTACAAGGTTAAAAGGTCACAGTGTTTGATCGCCATTTTCTTCTTAGACTGTCAAGGTTAAAAAGGTCACAAGGACATTAAAGTAGAGACTCTCCATTGACGTACATAATACCATGCTTTTTCAACGTTTTTTCCTAAATCCTTTTTTACAGACAATAAGGTCTCGAAGGGATTACTTTGAACTATTTTACGCAGGTATTAGATCTATATTCTCTGCTCATATTGTGAGAAAACATGGAAACAGAAGAAAGTCCTAAAATTTCCACCTTATCAACGTGTTTACAATATTCTAGCAGCATGAATGAATCACCGATAAGGGTCTCGTGAGTAGCGCACGAACTCACGAGATGCCACTACCTGTACGACAAAGCACGTGTACCGGAACACCGGTACCGGGCCTTGCGGAACGTAGATTACGTGGAACGCGAGCAGAGAATAAAAACCAGTTTCGCCTTATCCAACGATCACTTTGAACGTAGTGTATCAAGACCGCGTAAACTTCGGAGGCCGAAGAAATATTCTGTCCATAATATCACGTTAAAACGAACCTTGGAATCAAAATCAAACGGACACCTAAACGTTTACTTTTAAAAGGGACGCATTAGAATTCAAATCACTGTGTACACAGCCTTGCCAATGTTTTATCTCACACGTGATTAAAGAACCACCAAGCGACGCGAGACAATTAGCTGGATAAAGTATCGCCAATTGTAACAATACTGCGTCTGACCCAGCTTCTATGGGAGAAAGGCCGTCGGATAAATTAGAACAATCCCATAACTGGTCACTGCTCGTAACGGAGCTCGAGCATCGCACTTGTCCTTCCCTCGGATGAAACGCTCTTACGGAGACCGTATCTTACGTTAATAAATACAACAAGCGATACTTTCACTAACCTAACGTTTCCGTTTGCGGCGTCACGAGAGACAAACAAAAGAAAACACGAGGCAAATTCACTGGCGTAGCAATGTGCGCGCACGTCCGACTCCTCTGACAGCTCAGAGACTTCTGTCCGCTGGCCTGACCTTGTCCCCCCTTTTTATACCGGCCATGGGGTCGGCCAGCCGACGCTGACGAGACGGAAAACGTCAGGCTTGCATCTGACCAGCTGAAATTCAGCCCCTGCCCCCTGCCACGCTACTTTCCCACGAATTTCCGCGACGAACTCGAACCACCTGGCTCCGATTCGCAGGAAGTTGACGAATAACGGACACTTTTAATCGGATCGAGACGAGCCGCGAAAGCATGAAAGGTTGGACAGGTGTGTCACAATTTTCTTCGAAACGAAAGCGGCGCGCACGCGTCGCATGACGCAATATAGCTTCCTCCTTGTTCATGCACGCGGCTGATCGATCCGAGCGGCACTTTCTTCTGAATCCCTACCGGCAGGCAATAAAACTAAAAGCCCACAGGATGTCGTCTTGTTCCGAGGGAACTAAAAATACTGCTGGGGGACTGGTGGAATGTCTCGCCATGGGGGATGTTTTATTGCGATCGGACGGAAAGTTAATTTTGGAGCTCCACGGTTCACGGGGACACAGATTCGAAAACGGTCACGTGCCACCTCGGGACGCAGGATCGCGGAAGCTGGTGCAACGTTGCGCGCAGTTTGCAGCAGTGGGAGTACGAGAATTTGGGGAATAATCGTTGCCCATGCGATATGGGGTTTGTACTTATCTTTTCGTGCGTTGTCATCGGTATGCGCTACGTCACGCTTGTTGCGAATGTTTGTATCTTTCGATCTTGATATGAGAAATGATTTTCGCGACATTTGAACGATAACGAATTGATAAGCACCTGATAATTCTTCATTCCTTGATAGAAGTGTTCTTTAATAGTGATGCGTGTATGATTGATTTCTGGCGGTCGGGAAAACAGAGAGAGTAAAGAGTGTATAAATCGAGGATTTCTGATAACAGTTGTTGCAACTGTTATTGTTATTACGAAATGATGGGTTCACGAGGATACGTGCAACTTGAATGTAAATAAACAATCAATTCGCGCGTGCACGTACGCAACTAATATTAGCTGCTTTAATTTTAAACACGTTTGCTTTGTTTCTCAGTTGAATACCATCGACGATAAACGTGTGGAAACCAGATGATTCAATCATTAACGCGTGCGACTAATCAGAAATATAACTGCCAATTCCAACGGATATCAAGCCTCTCAATTTTCCTGTTAATGCGCTTCTTATTTCATTTAAAAATCTGTTAACGTTGCCAGACATTATCAAGTGGACAATGACATTAAATAATCAACGGCATCGCCAACTTCCGGTGACTTCGATTGACCGCAATGTATAACTTCGTGCTCGACTCGTTTTTCTTTACGGTAGCCATGTGGGGATTGCCGCTATTTTTAAGATCATAAGACGAGCACGTGATTCTGGCAGTTCCACGCATCGAGTGTGTTCATTAATTTCAGTTTTACAATGTTCAAGATTATCAAGTATTGATATTAGAAAGTTAATTAATAAGTTCGAACTTTCGAGTGACTTTTTCACTATACTTTTTTAATTACGTTATCGGTTGCCCTGAATATCAACGAATTAATCGTTTAAAATCAAATAATTGACAGGAAATGAGTTAATCTTCGTTAGAATACGTCACGTGCTTACGATACGATTATTATGGTCAATGGTGGGGGTACTTCAACGAGTTCCATGAAAATCGAAGCGAATGTCGACCGACACGTGACGTCGCGACCGTCAATAGTTCATTCGTATTCACTTACTTGAGGTTGTTTTTCCGAAGAAGATCACTCCGCAATTTGCATCGAGTAGATAAGCTTACCACTTTCCCGCACAGTCTCGTAAGCATTTTATCAGCAACCTCGAATTACGCGATGCTCAAAGACTTTCATCGAACGACTGAGTAGTTATCTAACCTTGTATTCGATTATAGTTACTAGACAGTTTTCATTGGCGCCCTACGTCGCCTCGCGATTGCGTGTGATTCCAGGATTACAGATTGCTACGTGTTGCGAGACGTTTACCAAGCTGTTGAATCATCGTGCACGATGCAGCGGTTGACGCCAACCGGAATATGACGCAACTGAAAACCACGTGTGTGCAATTCGGCGGGATACTACGTGATCTTGATCATGATTCTCCGTACCCGCTTCCGATTGGTCCTCTTCAGCCTCTCTTTCACCTGGTCTAGTGTCGTCTCTTCTTGGACCAGTGTTTCTCAAACTGAAGAAATTTCGGTTTAAACCTTCGAATATTTCGGTTTCTGGCAATTATAGAGACATTGACATAATTCAAGGTATCACTATTTTTATCAAGAATTCACATTCACTGAGCAATTCCACTTTAAAGATTTTTTCAAATTTGAACAGTAAAACACTTAATCGTTTGCATTCGAGACGTGACTCTCAGTTATTTAATTTGATATAGAAGAATCATAAAGTTCAATGTTTAACATTAAGTTTTGCAAATGGATCAGTATATAAGATATTGAAAGAAAATATCTTCGTTTCTCAGTTTATGCGTGACTTCTCGATAAGTTAGTTTCAAAAATGTTCTCTATGTCTCATCGGAAAGCTTTTTACCAGAGCTACCTTTTACTTTGCGGAGTCAACCGCTTTGGCAAATGAGTGAGCCATATATTAATGTCGAACTTTTTTAGGCCTCAGTTTATTGCTATATTATAGGCGACATAAAAATCTTTGAAGTGTAGGCGTGAATCGTGATTCAAGAAACGTTAAGAAACACTGTCCTAGACGAACTCCCGCTATACACATAGACGAGTTCTCGTGCGGGATGACGTGACGAAAAACACGTCTGACCGATCCTCCGAGTTAATTCCGGCTGCTCGTAAACGTGATCCGAGTTATTGCCCCTATCGGCACTGCTGCCAAAATTATTGTCATTCTCGGTCATGCGGCTCGCAATAATCAGATCATTTGTGTACTGCAAAGGTATTCGAACGTTTTATGAATACTGTAAATAACTACCGACGATTATTTAATAACCCCTAAAGATCGATAATTAACGGCTAAGAATATCTTAGTAAATTTTTTTCATTACGCCAGCAACGCTAGACACGACTCGAGTGATCTAATAAACTTTTTCTACGGATTATTTCAGGCAGAATTACCTACGTCTGTTTTTACAAAGCCCATTAATTGGGAAGCCTAATAATGCGGCAAGTAGCGTAATAAGATGGAATTTTATATTGGACCGCTAAGTACGAATCTAAATTGATATAGTGGTAAGTCGGCGGAGAATGCAGCTATTCTATAAATTAGATCACACAGAACGAGCTTTTCCAATGGAGGTTTAGCGAGCAATCCGGCCGCGGATTTTTCTAGGTTAAATATAACTAATGAATTGGCATCGAGAATTGGATGAGAAAAAATTCCGAAGCCGCTTAAATGACTATAAAGCGAGGTCTTTAATAGAACCAATTAAAGTGTGAAGATTATTTCAAGGTCGTGCAGGTTTTTTTTATAACAGAATTAACAATGGAAGAAAAAGCCTAGGACGTTTTAAAGTTATTTATACTTTCATAATGTAATTAATAAAAGACCCAAGGATGCGCTGCGGTGATCAGTTTTTTCAACAATATGTGATGGGATCGAAGAGGAACTTAAGGACCGCGTAAAATCGTTTATGTCAAGATAACGTTGAAAAACCAATGGCGACGTTAAGGACACCTCAAGGACTCCGCCGCTATTACAATAGAATTTACATGTTGCCCGTACAACAGGGTATTTCCATTATTATCTGCTTCGTTTTTACTAATTTTTTTTCACTTTCTTGTTGCATAAATTTCTTACATAAATTTCTTGCATAACCCGCCAAATTGACACTTTCGGTGGCGCGCCGGTCTGGACCATTCGTCTGATAATTACAATCATTAGCGTTGTCGTTCGACGGTCGTACCGTTCCTTGAAATTGGCGAGAAAATCAAAGAGAGGTTTAATAGGTAAATTAACTGTTGATTGGTTACGCGCGAGCGGCGTTTCTGTTCACTGTTGTTGAAAGCCGGTGGCATGTCGCGGGTCGCGCAGCCGCCGCCATGTTACCGTGGCGCTGGTCTATGAAGATGGCGAGCGTAATTACAAAGTCGAGGAATTGAAGAGTCAACGTCTCGAATTAGCATAACCGCACGAACGCGGTGCGGTGTAACTTGTGTCGCTTCCACGGCCGTTCCCCTGCACACGTGGCGATTCACGCTCGATTTGCGATCCATATAATACTTTACGTTCACCGGTTCTGCGGTGTAAATATAGTGCCAGCCGAGACTCATTCACTCGATCAGATTTACAATCTAACTATCTACGATCTCTGGATCACGGTAATTAATGCCGCATCACTCGTGCTGCTCGGGCTGGCGTACGCTCGAAACTGGACTACCGATGATTCATTGCTATATTGAATATCTTTATAGGTTTGTAGCAAATATCGTTGACTATCGGTGCGGAAGAATAAAAGTTTTAATCAACTTAGACACGGATTTAATACCCCACGCCCTACGCGGCCGTTCATTAAAGGTTGTAATTCATGTTTTCATTAATTAGTCTTTGAGAGCATGACATTCATGACTTATGTTAAACGGACTAATAAAGGGAGAGGTCTGGTTTACTGGAAGGAGGTTGCGTTTAAGTTAAAATGACAATTAGAAACGATCTATCCGAAGATCGTCGTAACTTTCGATCTGTTTTATTGGAGTATTCCCTTCTAATGAATTTTAATGAGCGCATAGAGCCTTTTATAGTTCAAATTCAGATAATTATTAGTTTTCTTCTGCGATCAAATTATTTCGCGGGAAGAGAAACGATTTGCTTTGTTTTATTTTTGAACAACGCTGTTTCTTGGTATTCCGCTCACGGTTATAGTTGGCAGTGTAAAGGGCAATGAGTTGTTTCAATATCATCGCTCATATTCTTCGTCACCTTTATGATGTAATTGCCGGAGAAGTCGTTGAAACTGTTCCTCTCGGAATAATGCGTATATTGCGTCAGCTTTACATCGATCCGACAATTAGTAAAGTCCACGAACGCACTACGGTTTTCAGAGAACTCGAATCGTTCGAAAAGGTGGACTTGTTGTTATATATATATATACAACCTCCGATGGTATTTCTGGGGACGAGTTATATTAACCTAACCGCATTTTACCGGTCGAAAGCGAGATTTTCGTCTTGGGAACATCGCTGAGGAAGTTCTGTGCTACGTGACTTTACGAGCGAACACACCCATTCTACTTCCTCTTCCATCGTACTGATAGCTTTATCTAATACACTCCTAACCACTGGAATAAACAGTAATTTTCAATGAGAAGGAAGCTATTAATGCGATCAAAATTCTACGAAACGGGCCGGCGACGCGGTGAACGTTGTAATTGCATTCGCGGCAATCATTTTCTCGAATAAATTGAACTGTATTCTCTTGATTACTCTTTAAAGTAATCATAATATTCTATAAGACGCGAGTTATTAATGTTTAACTGCATTCGTAATTATATATTATGTACTTCCTTCCTTTCGGCTCGCGTTGATCGAACCCGTCCAGTTTTCAATTAGTGACCTTAAAAGGAATGTTGAACATGATGCTGGAGATGTACAGGGTGTTCCTAAACCCCGAGCGTCAGAGCGCACTGAACTGTATTAGATAATCTTCGCATATCCGACGGTTTATATCCTTACCGAATACCATCGAGATACCATTTCAATGAATGCAGTTTGTGCTCCACTTTTTTTCTCATTATAAACAGTGAAATCTTCTTTCGAGATTGATAACACGTGTAATGTGAAACAATCAATATTGGAGCGATACTATCTCAAAGTGGTCCGATTCAATTGAATATTACACATAACAATCACTCTCGAATCCTCAATCATAACCCCGAAGAAAAATGATCGTATCATTTCCTCCGCATCGTCGAGCAGCTTTTTCTCGAGTTATTCTTTTTGCGTCGATGCTGAATACTGATAATCTTAAGAAACAATATTTACTTTTGCGAACAATATCGCGTTCCAAAGACCTTGGTAAACAATTCGTACGCTTTCTACCGAAAATGGTCGTCCAACCTAACGGAGGACCTCGAAGGTACCTTAAGGTAAGTGAAAGCGGGTTAAGGATTTCGTCAGAGGGCAATCGAAGAGATTCTTGATCCGCGAAATCAGGACAGTCTCGGAGGATATGCAACGAAATTTCAATGCAACGGTCGCTTCAGGATAAAACACGCGCATCCGCTGGTAGCCGCGTCGGGTATTTTGGTCCGGAGAACATTCGGTCTTCTTCTCGACTCGCGATTGTAAATTATCACAGAAGGGTTCGCCGACACTATAATTTGAGGGTCCAGTTTACGTTCGCCGTGAAAGCAATTCGCTGAACGGCTGCGCTGCTCGTTGGTCGACATTTCTCTGACATCCTCGCGGAGCCCGCCGCGCCTCGAGCGTCCGTGACACGATAACGAAGCAGAATTAAGACGTTTAAATTCCTTAAAGTCGCACAGTATACCTACGCACGAATTACAGGTCGTAAAAGTTTATACTGTTCCTCCGTTTTATATAAAACCCGACGAAGAGCTAAATTTCTCGAAACCAGTCCGTCCCATTCTACTTGACTCGCGGTTAATTATAATGCGTCCAGTTTTATTGCAACGTTTTACGACAGAACGGATCGATAATTATGCTCGTCGACTTCACGGTTAATTAGTAGTTGGCCGGGGTGCGTTGCGTCGAACCACGGACATCTTCTACCGAGCAATTAAAATGCGATCAATTAATCGATCATATAAAACACAAATCGGCCTAATTACTGATTGTTTAAATCGAACGGGCAACGTCTCTTTATACATTATTCCTATTGCCTTGTTTGTTCGTGTACTTGAGAAAAAATATTCGAAGCTACATAAACATATCTATTGTACGGAAATGAAAGGCAAGATAGAGGTCGCGAATATATTAAAGTGCACCGAAATAAATGCTTCCAATAACTTTGCAACAACGACCGTTCTTTACCAATGTACAAACAGAGAATTCAGTCGAAGTAAACCGACGATTCTACAGCAGCGAACGCGAATTTCCAGGACATGTAATTTCGTGGAATCACGTTAATCGAGATGGGACGGTGTCGCGTTTCGCTGAACGCGCGAAATCGCATCCCGCAGCTGCGTTCCCATACTTCTACGATTCCGACGGGTGGTCGTCCACCTCGGTGTCGGGCGTTAAAAGCGTACTCGCGCGTGTAAGGAGAGACAGTACGTCAGCGGGTCGAGGATAGGGTAGGCATAGGGGCAACAACTGATTCCCAGTAACTATAAATAAGAGCCGATACGTCTCGCGAACAGGAGGCCAGCTCGTAAATCTCAAATCGGGGCATAATCGGTGAGCAATCTGGAATCTGGCGCGGATCAAGCCGCGCGACCTCCGTGATTCGCCGATCGCGAAGAGGACGTTGCTTTTCCCCGCTTACCGTCGATGGTAAGGCGGGATCTAGCCGTTCGCTGATCGGTAATCCAGGATCCTGCAATAAATCACCGGCGAGTCCCCTTCGCGCCTGGAAATTGTTCCCGCGGAATTACTATCCCCCGGTTCGACCTTCGAGACAGCGATTTCTCGGGTATGCGATCTATGCGGGCTGTAAACATCGCACTCCCGTGAGTTAGTGGGAAATGGGACACGATAATTGGGTGGCAACGCAGACGCGGTGTAAGAATAGACCTGTCGTCCAATATATTTTCGTTGCCCTATTTTATGCGTTGCGAACTTCAACCCTCGATGATTTCCTTCGGAAATGTCTTCTCTGAAGATATGTTATCTTTAATGATTTAGTAGAAAACAGGGGGGAATTACGCATTCCATGGTTAGTCAGGAAATTCCTAGT